AAAGCTAGCAGTGGAGCCAGCTCTAATGCCAAATCATGGGCTTTTAGTTCTAAAACCTCCCTAGCTCCAAGAGGAAAACCTCCTCCAGAAATCCCTCTTTCTAATTCCCTGGGGTTGGTGCTTCACACTAGGCAGGAGAGCGAAGCCTTCCCAGGGCTCAGCTACTCTTTGGGAACACCCTGGACCAGCCCATTCTCATTCACCCAGCAAACATCACTGAGGCTACCACTGAGCCCTAAACAAAGTAGTTTCTAACCTTAGAGAGCTTAGAGCTTTATGGAGAAAATTGGCAAATCAAACAATGCACTTGAACATAGAAGCGGTGAGTGCCAGAGGTCACTAGGTCTTCACCACTGGAGGAGTGCTACGACTAGAAAGAATGTCCCAAGACCAAGGTGCACTCATGCAAAGGTCTGGAGAAGAGCCACTTGAGTCCCACTGGGAACTTGATCATGCCAACGTACAGACGCTGGTGAGGAAGGCGGGCCTGAGGCTATGGCAGGGGTTTGAACTGGAGTGCTGTCAACATTTCTTACAGGCTGGCTTGGAGACGGCTTCTGGAAAGCAAAAGATTGTATGTGTACACTCCTCTGCGCCCACAGGGAGGGCTTCTATGTGGTTTGAATTCCCAAAAGCAAACCAGCTTGGAGCTGATCCCATACAGATTCCTGAGCCTGGTCCAAGACTTAGTGAATAAACCCTGCACTTGAATGAGTTTCTAACAAGTGCTCCAGGTGATTCTGATGCACGGCCAGGTTTAGGAATAGAGTGGATGACACCGGCTTCCTTTAGAAATGCTCATTGGTCTGTTTCCCCTAGACTTGCCGAGTGAGGCCTAGGCTACATTAGTTCTCTCAGATGTTTTTCATCTCTAAAATTGGGACATTGTCTCAGTTACTCTTCTCTCATTGCTGGGACAAATACCTGACACCCAAAATGAAGGAAGGGAAGGTTTATTTAGCTCACAGTTAATAGAGTTTTCAGTCCCTACTCATCTGGCTCCAAGGCAGAGTGATACATGGTAGAGGCGTAGCCTTTCACAGTGGCAAAAGGCAGCAAAACAGCAAGAGCAAAAGGGAGGAGTAACAGCAACAAATGGCTACAGAGAGCAAGTCTGTCTCTTATGTTGCATTTAGGCTATGTGCCCCAGGCTGGGTGTAGCGCTCACACTAATAATCCCAGTAGTAGTCATGCCCATAATCCCAGCAGTACTCACACCCATAATCCCAGCCTTGGATCATGAATTAATTACGAACTGTAGAACTGCCCCTCAATGACTGCATGAGGATTTGGGGGGGAATAAATACAAACCATAATAGACGTGAATGAGTTCTGAACTAGTTAATACTTAGAACCATCCTATGAACAAGTGTTGTTATCAGTGCTATGGGTTGTTCAGAATAGGAACCAGATCAGCCAGATTGGAATTTGGAAAGCCATTTATTACTGAGCTCAGGGCCCTCGGTTTGCTCTCATGCAGAAGACTGAAAGGCGGGCTAGCCCAGGAAGCAGGGGGAGGGGGTTAAAACCTGGAACCACATTCCATTTGGCAAACAGATTCATTGTCTGACACACCATAATGCCTTCAGGGTCATTGTGACCACTACTCAAAGTAAATTTTGGGGCTTTCTTTTTAGCTTTTGGTTTTCTTGCCCCTGAGTACCTGCAGGCAGCCTTGCATAGCCCCAGGTTACAAGAAGTTAAAGCCCGTTTAATTTCCTTTTGAAGACATCTCTGTGAGCTAACTTTGTTAACAGGGATGGTGAGGGTTACAGGAATTTTATTTTAGCAAACAGCAAGAAACAGCCACTAGTTACCAAACAAATTAGAACAGTGGTGAGTATGCATTTTTACACAACAGAAAACACAAGATTTACATTTATAATCTAAAATGTGAGTTGACCCATTGCAACCACCTCCATAGGCAGATGAAGACACTGAGGCTAGGCGAAGCTAGGCAACTTACCCAAATGCTAAAGTGAGAAAGGGGCTGAGACAGAATTTAACCTACATCATCCAATTTTTAAAAATGGTTTTGTGTCTTTTCTCAGAAACAGGGCTGGGTTTCTTGGAATCATGAAGTAGGCGCAAGTGAGTATGCAGGTATGGTCAGTGCCTGTGATGATGGTCATCCCCCTGTGAGCATAGTAAAATCTCCCTTGGTGCTGCCAGTGTGTGGGAGGGGGTGTCTAGTCCATGTGGTCTGAGTCTGGCGATAGCCAGCACATGGACAGAAAGTTGTGGTACAAATCAGACCTTCTCTCCCAGAGGGCCTGAAGATATAGGAGGAAGGGTCCTCTAGAAATCAGGGTATCTTAAGTCTTCTGTGCTGCTGTGATAGAGTACCTCAGACTAGGTAGTTGGTTCACAGTTTTGCAAGCTGGGAAGTCCAAGATCAAGATACCTAAACACAGGGCATGGTAACAGTATAGTCCCAGCTCCCTGGGAGGCTGGCAGGAGGGTCATTTGAGCTGACCGTGTTATGGGTCACTCAGAATAGGAACCAGATCAGCCAGATTGGAATTTGGAAAGCCATTTATTACTGAGCTCAGGGCCCCCGTCAGCTCTCGCACAGGAGAGGACCGAAAGGCGGCTAGCCCAGGAAGCAGGGGGGCTCTTAAAACATGAAACCACAATTTGTTTGGTAAACAAATTCATTGTCTGACACAAAACAATGCTTTCAGGGTCATTGTGAGCACTACCCAAACTAAATTTCCTGGGGCTTTGTTTTAGTTTCTGGTTATCTTGCACCTTAATACCTACAACCTTGCATAGCCCCAGGTTACAAGAAGTTAAATCCCATTTAGTTTCCTTTTGAGTCATCTCTGTAACATAACTTTGTTTACAGGGATTGGTTAGGTAGGAATTTTATCTAGCAAACAGCAAGTAACAACCACTATTTACTAAACAACTTAGAACAGTGGTGAGTATACATTTTTACACAAAAGAAAACACAAGATTTACATTTATAGCCTAAAATGTGAGTTGACCCATGACAACAGAGTAGGACGGGGATGTGAAGAGCGTGGATATGTAGCTAGAAGGACCTGCGACAAGGCCAAGCTGGAGATTTCATGGTTTTGTTTAAATTTCCGAGAGACCTTTTGGTGAGAGTAGAAATGGCCTGGAGGGAACAGTGGGAAGGCTGGGGGGGGGGGCACCATGAGAAGTGCTACAAGGGTCCAGATAAGACAGAATGGCGTTGGCTTTGAGAGATATCTAGGCACAGGCTCCACAAGCTGGACCAGGGAGCAGTGCGGAAAGAAGGCCCGGAAGATGTCATTCCGGCTGTTGGTTTAAGGAATCACCAAAAATGGACATTGGACATAGGACATTTCAAGAGAAGGACTGAATTCAGGGAATACTTTACATTTCGGTAGCCATTTACTGAACATTTCTTGAAGAGGTGCCAAGCGCTTTGCTGAGCACTATGTACACATTAAGGCGATTCAATACAGCAGTCTTGGAAGGTGAATCCTATTGTCGTTTAGAACAGAGTGTAAGTAGCTTTTCTGAGATTAGCAGACAGCAGAGTCAGAAGCTGAAGCCAGGCGTGGTGGCACATGCCTGTAATCCCAGCTCGTGGGAGGCTGAGGCAGGAGGATTATTGCAAGTTTGGGACTAGCCTGGGCTACAAAGTGAGCTCAAGGCCAACCTGAACTGCATAGCAAGGACCTGTCTCAAAAAGAGAGAGAGAGAAAAGTTGAAACCATTGGGCTGGGCTCCTGAGTCCTCCGTTCTCCCTGAGGGAACTGCTTAGTACTCAAGATACAGCTCAAGGGCTGGTTCCTCTAGAGAACCTTCCCTGATTTTCCCTGACTGGGTATCACATTTCTTACAGTAAGGTGACATTTTGTAGGTGAGTTGGCTTCCTCTTCAGTGACAGAACTCCTGAGGACAGGGATGGTCCCAGTCACTTTTACATCCCCAATTAGCATGTGTTGATTGTCTGGCTGAATGCCAGATATTCTAAGCAATTCTATTCCTATCTCCTCTCTACACATTCTTCAGTATACAAGCAAATCTGTCCTGCTAAAAATAGTTTCCTAAATATGTCTTCATGCTGTTTTTATGTCTTCTTTACCGGCAAGCTTAGCTCTGAGTTCTTTGCCACGATAGAGGAAGGGTCTGTCACCTGATAATGTGGTCTAGAACACTGCCTGTGAAGGTGACCCATGAACTTGGTGAAACAAGCCAGAGCTACTTTGGTAAAGAAAAGAAGGGAGACTTCCCGATAGATGAAAAAGCATAAGTCAGGGCACAGATATGAAAGTAGTTTGTTCTGTGTAGGAGGATAGGGAAAGGGATGCTCTCCTGAACAGAAGGAAATATGTTGGGCCGAGGCCGTGGGCGTGAGATTGTGAAGGCAGGGCCATGTGGGGCATCAAGGAGACTGAGCACTGGGGCCATGTTGGCATGTGTTAAAATAGACATCTATTTAAGGTACCGTGGAAACACGGAGTAGACAGTGAATACTTACATTTCAGAGATCGTATAAGACAGGTTTTACTATAGTTCAATTATTTGTAGACTCGCAGTAGCTACCATCTATTTCTGTCGCTGCTGTGTTGTGCCTGGCACAGTACCTTATGGACACGATCTCATCTAATCCTCAGAACATCCCTGCTACATAGATGTTATCGCCTCTGCACAGAGGAAGGGCGGCCCTGAAAGATTAATAATATTCTCAAAGTAACACAAGTAGAAAGTTAGCTCGGCTTCAAAAAGGTTTTAAAGCACTAGATGACACTCTGCTAAGGAAAGCGGCCTCTACGGATGATCATGTTTCTGCATATCCGATGTAGGTTTTAGGAGACGCCTAATAAATGTCAGTTAAACAAGTGAATATAAATAGATGATTTTTCATTTTCTCCGAGAAACGCACGCGGGGACGCCGCCGGGGAACCTCCCGGCCGCCAGGGGGCGCTGTCCGACGCAGGCCCGAAGGCGCGCTCGCGGACGTCCCGCTTCCTCTCGGCCCTTGACCCGAGCTCCGCGGATCCCTGCACTCGAGCGCGGCCGGGGGCGGGGTCAGCGGGCGACGCCCCGCGGGCCGCTGGGAGCCGAGACTTCCGTGCCCCGGCTAGCGGGCGGAGAGCCGAGGCCAGGCCAGGAGAGGCGAGCGGGCCGGGCCGCAGGTGAGCGCAGGTCGGCCGCGCCGTTCCTTCCTGGGGTGGCTGTCGCGGCCGCCCTCCCGTCCGTGCGACGGCTGCGGGCCGCGACCTCCGAGTTAGGGCCGGAGGGGCGGGGAGCGTCCGCTGCG